TGTATGTCTGTCTGTGCACCACATGTGTCCAGTGCCTGCGGAGGCCGGAAGAGGGTGTTGGATTTCCTGGATCTGGAGTTTTAGATGACTGTGAGTCATCATTTGGATGCTAAGGAATTGAACCTGGGTCCTCTGGAAGAACAGCCAGTGGTCTTAACCACTGAACCATTTCTCCAGCCTCAGGCTGATTGTTCTTATGTGAACAAGACCTGTAATGTTGGGTTGTTGCCACAAAACAGCTTACATGAACAAGGCATGCTTTGACCTTCTATGTGAACAGTTTACTTATGGCATACATTCTTGAGTGTAAGAAATGTATCTCAGGGGCGATGGGGTGGGGCACATGTTTAATTCCAGCACTTGGGTGGAAGAGACAGATAGATCTCTGAGTGCAGGGTCAACTTGGTCTACAGAACAGTTCCAGGAGAGCCAGGGCTACAGAGAGAAACCCTGTATCAAAACAAACAACAAAAGAAACGTATCTAGCTAAGTGTTCTGTCTGAAAGGCACCAGGGAGAAATCGGTAACAAGAAGGGGAAACTGAGGCAGACAGAAACAAGAACACTCAACAGTAACAACAATAAAAAGGGGAAATGAGAGAAAAGACAAGAGCAAAGCAGGAAAATGCCTAGATAGAACCCCTAGAGAGGATGTCACACACACAACGGAAACCTAAGTTAGGTTACCCTCTAGTCCCTTGGAGGTACCAGTCTGGGCCAGGCCACACCCCATAGTCTCAGCCTTCACATCCAGCTGACGCCTGTGCAGTCAAGGACACACGGGGCAAGGAAAAGGGGGGAGCAAAGCAGACAGGAGAAGGAAAGGAGTGGGGATTTTTGCAGCCCAGAAAACAAAACAGTGAAAGTGGGGGGAAACCACACACATACAGAATGGTGCGGAGGAGGCAGCTGAGATCTGCAGACCTGTGAGCTGCCTTCCGTGCTGTGAAATCTAAAAGCTAATTCCATCCTGCCAGCTTGGAAGCCTTCCCCTGCCTGAAAGAACCGCCCCCCTCCCAGTGCAAACACCACCTGGCCTGGGTACCCTCCTGTTTCCTGTCTCTCAGGCCCAAGCCAGGCAGAGAGGGTGAGGTACAGTGGCCATTGCTACAAAGCTAAGCCTTTAGGAGAGACAGTCAATTGCTATGGTAGGCTAGTGTCTGGAGGAGAGGTCTAGATGCTCATTCCTCATAGTCAGCAGATGGGCTGGGAGTTCCCGCCCTCTCGTTCACCTTGTGTGTTTGGATCTTTACTCTTTACTGGGTACTGGGGGCAAAAGGCAAAAGAGTGGGCAGACAGACGGTGGGAGAGAGCTGAAGACTGGCTGTAGAGTGCGATGCACCTGTCATTCCCTGTCTCTGTGATCTCTGCCATCCTTCTGTCTCCTTCTCTCCCTTGAGTGCCTTTCTGCAGTTCTTCTTAGCCAGCCTTCTCTTCTTCAGATGCCCTTGAGCACTGAAAAACTGAAGTAGCACTGTGTATTTCTTTTTTTTTAATGACTTTTTTTAAAGTTATTTATGTATTTATTATGTATACAGTCTTCTGCCCACATGCCAGCAGAGGGTACCAGATCTCATTCAAGGTGGTTGTGAGCCACCATGGGATTGCCAGGTGTTGAACTCAGGACCTCTGGAAGAGCAGTCAGCGCTCTTAACCGCTGAGCCATCTCTCCAGCCCGCACTGTGTATTTCTATGTCTTTTCCTGCTCCATTTCCCTCCTCCTCTCTGCCCCCACCTTTTTAAAAGGCATGCTTTTATTATTTTTAATTATGCGTGCGTGCGTGCGTGCGTGCGTGCGTGCGTGTGTGTGTGTGTGTGTGTGTGTGTGTGTGTGTGTGTGAATATGAACATGGAAGTGCAGATCCCAGGAGGCCAGAGGCATCGGGTCCCCTTGGAGCTGGCTGTTAGAAGTCACCTGACAAGGATGCTGGGAAATGAACTCAGGTCCTCTGGAAAAGCAGTCAGCACACTTTATTATTATTACTATTATTCATTTTTCTTTTACATTCCAGCAGTAAGCACTCTTAACCACTGAGCTGTCACTCCAGTCTCCACTCAGCTAATTTTTGTTTTGTTTTGTTTTCCTTTTTAGGAGACAGGATCTCTATATGTAGTTCAGGCAGGCCTGGAACTCACCATGAAGCCCAGGTGGGTCACAAACTCATGATGGTCTTCCTGTCACTGTCACACCCTCCCTCTATGTTCCTATTCACACCCTCCCTCTATGTTCCTATTCACTGTTTCTTTCTTTCTTTCTTTCTTTCTTTCTTTTTTTTTTTTTTTTGAGACAGGGTCTTGTGATCCTGGTTGACCTGGAACTTCCCGTGTATATTCTGATGGCCTTCAGCTCACAGAGATTCATCTGTCTCTGCCTCCGAGGTGCTGGTATCAAAAGCAAGCAATTAAGCCAGTGGTGGTGGCAGCAGTGGCGGCACCTTTAATGCCAGCACTTAGGAGGCAGAGGCAGGTGGATATCTGAGTTCAAGGCCAGCCTGGTCTACAAAGCTAGTTATAAGATAGCCAAGAGTACACAGAGAAACCCTGTTTCAAAAAACAAAAGACAAAAAAAAAACAAAAAAAAGGGGGAGGATTAAAGGGGGCTAGAGAGATGGGTTAATGGTTAAGAGCATGTATTTGCTGTTCTTCCTAGGGACCTGAGTTTGCATCTCAACACCCACACAGAGTGGCTAGTTAACGGTCTGGAACTCTAGCTCCCTCTTCAGACCTCCCCGTGCACCTGCACACATGTGCACATGTACCCCCCATATATACATAATTAAAAATTAAAAAAATAAATCTTGAAAAGCAATTAAAGGTATATGCCATCATACCCAGTATTCTGCCTACCTGTCACTTTATCTTTACCCAAGTAAATTCTCTTGAAACCAAGTATGGTGGCTCACACCTGTAATGCTAGCACTGGAGAGGCTGAGGTGGAAGAATTGCTACAATTTTGAGAATAGGAGTTGGAGAGATGGCTCAGAGGTTAAGAGCACTGACTGCTCTTCCAGAGGTCCTGAGTTCAATTCCCAGCAACCACATGGTGGCTCACAACCATCGTTATGAGATCTGGTGCCCTCTTCTGGTGTGCAGATATACATGGAAGCAGAATGCTGTATACATAATAAATAAATAAAATCTTTAAAAAAAAAACAAAAACAGCTAGTTCCAGGACAGCCTCCAAAGCCACAGAGAAACCCTGTCTCAAAAAACCAAAAGGAAGAAAGAAAGAAAGAAAGAAAGAAAGAAAGAAAGAAAGGAAATTGAAAATAGCAAAGCCTACAGAGTGAGTTCTAGGCCAGCTTGGGCTAGAGAGTAAGATCCCATCAATCTTTGTCTCCATCAAATAAACAGTACCTCCTCTTCCCACAGAGATCTTCCTCCCTCCCTCCCTCCCTCCCTCCCTCCCTCCCTCCC